AAAGTGTTGGGTGGGGTGGACGCTACCTGACTATTGAGGGCACTGTTGTAAAATGAATGTACATACGCGTACGTATAGTGTTAAAAAATATCGTATGCAAACAAAGCCTGTAAAGACTGTCAAAATCTTGGAACGATTGCGTCATTCACATTGATGAGCTCCAAGTTCTCGCCAGCATTCATGTTACTATGAAAATTGAGCCAATGATGGATCCATTGCCCAGGATACCTGCCCAAACAACAAGTGTTTCCTTAGGTTGTCGGGAATGTCATAATGTGAAGTCCCTTGGTGGGTTGTTCATTTAAACATATCTCCTGACATTGTGTGTGTGTTTACGTTTCCCTCTATTGGAATATGTAGCCTCATTCCCACGATGTCCCAAAGGAATCTGTCTGTGCGATTTGTTAATAGCCATTGACAATACGGCATTCTTTTTCAAATATTCTTCTTTGTGGAGAGCACTCCTGCATGACTTAAGGTGCCAAATCCAGTCTTGAAATCCGGTAAAGGTCACTGAGCTGATATTAGGCCCAAGCAAAAGTCTCCGGTTTCTGGTATGCGCGCGCATCGTCGTAGCCATGCGCGTCGGCAAAATGAAAACGTTTTTTTTTTCAATGAAAGATGATGTCTCAAAACCGCCAAACTCACTAGTTTGACTGGAATCCTGCTGCTGCACAATTTTAACATGTTTTTAGATTGGGTTATGGTCAAAAATAAGCTTTATGTGGCCTCTCTGGACTCCCATATATTTGCACTAAGTTTAGTCGGGCACCATTTGCAGTCATCAGCCGACATTTGAAGCAACACAATCAGGTAAAAAAAAAAAGCCACGTCGCCGCACCACTTTTTGGGCAAGCTCCATACCAGAAACCAGAGACGTTTTTTTTGGCCTGAGGCAGCGCATTTGCGCCTCGCACTCACCACTGGATCAGCTTCAAGTTGAAGGGCTCGACGCAACAAACCAAACTTGTGTCCTTGCACTTCTTAGTCTGCCGCTGTTTCCATGGCTCCTGTTGAGACATTGTACCATATCCCAAGTATTTATCGACATAACTCCTACTCGTAGTTCTGCTTGGTACTCTGTAAACTGTCGGAAGGTCTCTGCAATATTTTAAGTTTTATAGTAACAAACTACCATAAGAACCCCTTTATCCACTGCAACCTGTGCCGCAAATTTGGCCAGCCATCTTTGGTAGCAGAAGCATTGATTTACTGCATAGGCGTAACACCTGAAATTGAATCTAATTGTGAAGTACTAATCAATGTTTGGTCGAATTGGCATGAATTAGCTTGCATTTTGTTCCTACTGTTTACGTAATCCAACACATCTTCCTTTGATGTGAGACAACACACCTTCTTGGCGTATCAAAATGATGTCTTTCATTAGACACCAGATAATCTGAAAAGTCGCACAACTTGGAATTCAAGTCCCTTCATTTAATAAGCTGCATCTCTGGACTGGGGTGTCAAAATGAGTGGGATAAAGAATATTGTGTGGAGTATTACCAGTACCTTCAAACCCATTTTATCTAACTTTTGCACACCTAAAAAGACTGCTTACTGCATCCGACGGGCTGCGATTTCGTCTCCGACTCCATCGTAGGAGTTAGAGTCCATGTTTCACATCCATATAGTAGCACTGATCGATGGTTGCCAAGAAGAAATAGATTTCTACGTTGCGGCTAATGGTGGAACTCCACACTTTCTTCATGTCAGCCAGTGCCCTCCATGACATTCCTGATATTGATGTCCTGGTCACTAGAGTTGATCCACGCGCCGAAGTACTTAAAGTCAGGGACCTCATTCAGCTCTCTACCCTTCAGCGTCTTCAGTGGGATGTGTTCGGGCGTGTTGTAGATGGAACACTCAGGTTGCTTTGTGTTGAGCCTGAGCCCTACCTTCAAGCACTCTGCTTCTACAAGGTGTATAGGAGTGCTTGCGCCTGCTCGACTAGATCAGACATCAACGCGATGTCATCAGCAAAGTCGAGATCCGTTTCTGTGATCGCTGGTCGCCAGTTCTCGGAGTGACAGTGAATCTGAGGTCGGTCTCCCTCCCATTGATGGCTTTACCCAAGGCATAGTCGAGAACAATGATAAAGAGGAAGGGTGCTAGGGTGTCGCCTTGGAGCACTCCTGCTGTAGTGTCATACCAGTCAGTCTCACCATCCGGAGTAACCACCTTAGCCAGTGTGTTGGCGTACATTGACTCTATGGCACGGAGTAACAGGGGTGGAACTCCGTATAGGCCTTTAAGATTCTTAACGTTATTACCCGATGTATGGAATCAAATGCCTTCTTGAAATCGATAAAAATGTGAATACTGCTGCTAGGTTGTTAAATTTCACTTTCTCGATAATGCGTCTTAGAGCTATATGATTTGGGCAATGGTTTTGCGCTTCAAACGGAAGCCGTTTTGTTTTTTTCTGAACAGTGGATCAATGACGCCTCTGATGCGATTCAGCATCAAACGGTACATTTTTGCAATGATGCATGAGAAACTGATACCTCCGTAGTTGTCAGGGTATGAGAGGTAACCAGCCTTGGGCACTGGTATGATCTTGTTGAGCGACCACTGTAATGGCTTCTGATTATCCATTAGGGCCATGCAACACATCTCCAACACTATTGCGTCAAGGTCACAGTTCTTGAGCACCTCTGGTGGAATGTCATCCGGCCCTGCTGCCCTACTCATCCGAATCCTCGACCTTTGGTGCGCTGCTTAGTAGGTTGCTGACATGGGTGTACCATAACTGTGTTTCCACTCTTTCCTGAGGGGAAGCTCCTGCTACCTGTCCTTCCTTTGCTTTCCTTTGTCCAGTTATTTCGTTGATGACCTTCCAGCCCTCGCCGTAGCGTGTTCCACCGTGCTACGCCTCTATTATTTGAGTGTTTGCATTGAGGACCTCTTTGTTTTAGTCGATCATAGGTGTAGAACAAATGTTGTTTTTCCACCCTATTAGCTTGCTTGTTCTCTTCATTGTGGCCTCTGTCGCAGGACAGGCGTGCCTATATGACAGCCTCTCTCGCAGCTGCGATATGTCTGGGTGCTAAGACAGAAGAGATTTCTTTACCCTCTCCTTCTTAGGTACCACTCCACTATCTCGTCCTCTCAGTAGTGTCCTCTTGCTCCTCTATCAACTGGTAGTAGTTGCGCATCACCACCGTGTAGCGTTTTTTAATATCAGGGCAGGATGATAACTCCTTCCCGTTATACCTAGTCCTACTGCTCGGCTTTGGTACTCTGAGACTTAGACGCACCCTCTTGGAGACTACTCTGAGGTCTGAGCCGACGGATTTGAATGACGAGCACGATTCAGAATTCAGAATGATGTTCCTGCACTTGCTCCGCATTAGAAGGACGTAGTCTAGTTGACGCCTCATCCCCATGCCTCTGTCTTGGGAGGTCCACATCTTTCCCGATATGAACTCGGCTAGCAGTGCTCCTTTTCTGTTCGTAGCATCATTATAAGTGAACGGTGCATCTTCAGGGCCCATTCTAGCGTTGAAGTCGCCCAGTATCATCAAGAAAATGTGAGCCGGCACTCCCATTACTGCTTCTGTAAGGGACTCGTAAATTTTCTCAACCTGTTCTTGTGCTGCAGCGTTGGTGGGCGAGTGGACCCTTCTAGATACGCCACTGCCCACATTATACCCCCACCAACAATAGAGCTAGCAACCCATACACTCCCACCAATATGGGCGTAAATCAGGGAGTAGTGTTAGGAAGGATTTATCCCCACACTTTATCTTAATAAGGGGGATGATTAGCCATTGGATCAACCCCCCCCCCGAGTGTTGTGATGAGAATAACAAAAATAATCAAACAAATACGTTTAGGTAAATACAAAAAAGAACAAACAATACACACGCCATTATGTTAATGGACGTAAGCGCGTATTGTGTGCACTGCGCGTGCATTTTTATCCTCAACAGCGCCCCCTAGTGTCGCCTGCTGTCCATCCTCCACCGATTATCGAATTTCCACGGTTTGCTGGCAATAGCATTAGCCCCCCCCCCCACTCGCTTATACATATTTACGCCTCTGCCCACCGACCCTAACTGTACCCCCACCCACCCTCAACCCAACCTCTGCATCAGATCTTTAACCCCAGCCCCAAATTTAATCATCCTGACTTGCAAAAAGTTCAAACCTCAAAAACATACACAATAAACAACTGGACTTTGTCTGCAATACTTTTAATAGTAAAGCTTTATTGATAAATCAATTACAGATCAAACATTACTTCTAAAAAATGTGTTCGCGAGAGTCAGATTAGTATATCTCATCATTTTTTACTGTAACAATCGTTTTAATCCAAGTGCCATGTTTGAAAAGTCTTTGTACTTTCCGTTAATTCGATTGAATTCTTCAAAACATGGAGTGTAAAACAAGCGTGGTTTTTGGTACCAATGAAGTCCAGCCGAAGGAGCTTTAAAAACGCGTGCATGTAGTTTTCCACATTATCAAAAGCTGGAGTTTTATTAATTATTTAAATTTTCTGAGTAGTTGTATTCGATACGTATCGCATTATTATTTTTACTTTGTGTTGTAATTTATTGAAACTGCCAAACGGAGCTATAATAATCAAAATGTACTAAACAAATTAAGAAACACTTTTTGAGGACCAATTATAAACTGCATGTTGCTGTGTTAAAGGCCCTTCCTGACAAGCGTTAGACACCAATTGTTTTTTTTTCTGTAATAGTGTTACATTTAAAAACAAACATTGCAATAAATCAAAAACAATTATTTGATACGAATTCCCACAGTCAATACTATAGCTGCAGTTAAACAAATCACGGGAGGAAAATAATACAATAAATGATGACACTTGAGAATGTTATGGGTCATATTGTGCAATTAAAATGTAAGCTTATTAAAAACATTAAAACTTGTGAATTTTAAAAATGATAATGGGGCGTGTCCACGCCCGCCCAAGGAAGAGCCTTGAGCTCTTTATCTGGTAAGTGAAGTTCGGATGATCAGAGAGAAGTTACTGGGAAATCAGTTTTGTGCTGATGTCTGAGGCATGCATGATCAAACAACAAAACTCAGAAACCTGAGTGAACGTTCGCAATCTCTCAGCGCATCTTGTCAAAAGGGCAAACGGTACGTTTGTTTTCAGGTGAATGGTAATTACAAGTGACAGATTTATTGATTTGTATTTATTTTGAATTTGAACTTTGGTAAACTAATCGTCGCCTGCTTAGTCGGATTTTAAATTCATTTCCTATAAAGAAAAAAATCCATGACCAAAATGCATTTGAATATACAGGAGTATCTCTCAAATAACAATGTATGCTTGACAGTGAATGTAATGTTTACCTTATTCGAGAAAAAAAAGGAAAAACATACTATACGATTTTTTTTTAATGACAACTCTTCTATTTCTACATTATTAGACACACATACAAACGTTTCAATCAGGATAATATAATTTCAGTACTTTTAAGTAGGCTGTAAGATTTGTTTTAAATGTTACTTAAACGATACCATACGGTGCTACTATTAAGCATTCAAAACCATGTGTTAATCCAATGCCGTAAAACTGTTCTGCGTATGCACTTATTAAAGTACATGTAACAGAGTATTCAACTGAATTATTTAGATAAAATTGAAGGAAATTTAATTTTACACTTACTCATTAATTAGATGTTGTTTCGGATAGACGGTGGAGCGATTGAAAATTCGGCAATGTGTGTGATCGTGCATATACTAGGCGTGGTTATCATGTTTGTCTATTCGGGGTAAAGGAGGAAGCCACTGAATGAGATGTAGTGATATGAGTTACTACCCGCCCGACCGCGTATGGTAAGATACACCGTGTCTTCACGATGCAGCACCAGCACCGCGCTTCCCGACACCTGCTCTTGATTAGTTGAATCCCCGCTAAATCCAGTGACAACCCAGTCGTTGTTTTTCTTCAGATGCATGTACAGGATACTGTGTGAAAGCACAGAAAATGTAAACACGTAGGTGCCCGGCACTGTACAGGTAAATGTGCCAGTCTCAAGATCGAAGCTGGTACCCGGCAAAAGCGTCTCGGTCTCCTGGAATGGCAAACGGGTGTCGTGACTCGTAGAGGTATCCGAGGTACTCGTCCTCACCACGGTAAATGCTACCCGCTGGTTGGAGTCGTCTGGTGTTTGTCCTGGCTCACCCTTCTGACCTTTGACACCAGTTTCTCCGATTCTTCCAACGATACCTGGTATACCTCTGGGACCTATCTTGCCAGGCAGGCCAATCCCATCATCACCTTTAGACCCAGTGTTCCCAGGTGCTCCCCGCTCACCCATAGGTCCAATAGGGCCAATCTCACCTTGCTGACCCGCATCGCCCTTTGACCCCGGCTGACCGTACGGCCCCATCGGTCCTGCTGGTCCAGGCAGACCTGGTATGCCGGGTATTGCAGCAGGTCCCTGGCAGCACTGCTGACACACCTGAGACGCAGGACCATCACCGTCCGAGGGAACCGGCCCAGTAACGGAAGCTCGGAGCTTGACAGAGTTACCCAGAAGAAGGGCGATTGAAATAATGGTTGCCATGCAATTGTTCATCTGTAAAAAAATTAAAAAAATACAAAAATACAAAAATACAAAAAAATATGGAAAATAATAGGGAAAGATGTGATAAACAAAATTGAGGTCAGAGAAAACTGGAGAAATTATATTAAAGTAAGACCTTGGAAACTTTGCCGTCGTTTAAATCAAAAATAAATTCATACATTATTAACGTGAAAAATGTGAAAAGATTTTCTCAAACATCACTGATCAAAGCTTCTCTTTAAACATTCTCATTAAAGGGAATTCATTTCCCAGAGACGAAAATGAAGGTAACAGTTTGGCGAGCATCGCCGAATTATTTAAGACGAAAATCTGCTCTTTGTCTAAATTGAAGTCTAAATCTGACTAATCTGAAAACGGACCGCTGGGGAGACTATAATTAACAAAACTTCTTTTATTCTGATCATGAATTAGGAGGAACATGATTTATAAATATCACTTGGACGAATTCGGCCGAAAATTAACCCTGTCAGTCCATACGAGGAGGTATTTTGGTCTTCTTAGCGCTGCACTGGGTGAACATTGTGTTCCCAGTCGCCGGGATCGGGAGGGGGGGGGGGGAGTCAAACACCCCCCCCCCCTCCCGCAGGTCTGTTTTTTTTTTCTTTTTTCTTGTTACAGAAATTCCTTAAAAAATGCGAAAACCGGCCTCCCAGCTCTCACACCCAAACATATGCTGCATGGAAATAAAAAAAAATACGCCTGTGCACAAAATATATACGTACAGAGCCAGCTTCTGAGCCAGTTGTTAGGGGGTATTTGTTCACTATTCTATAACATACTGTTAATGATCGTCGGATTTGAAGGCGCACACAATAGAAGTAAGGTACGAGCCCCCCCCCCCCCCCTTTGATTTTATGGAGTCGAGTGTCTGAACAAAATAAAACCTGTCTGCATTTCAGCGTTGATTTGCTGATGGAACCCCCCTCCCGGCCTAAAATCCTGAATCCGCCCCTGGTTCCTCATTCCTATTTTACGTGATGATCGATATTCCTTACATTTAAAAGGACTTGAGGATAATGGCCAGTTCTCTACATTTTTACATTTACATTTATTTCATTTTTCGGGATACATTTCGTTACAATAAACAACAAAATTAAATACTCAGAAACACACATAAACATTTTAGACAAAACATACACAGTATAATGTTTAACCATGCTCCCGCTGGATTACCTTAAAGAAATATGGTTTCTGTCGAGGGGCTCTCCAACTGATTAAATATGACACACTAAACACAATCTGTTATAGTCTTGACTCAAAATGTATCAATGCATATGAAAAGATAATTCTTCCACCAAATCATCTCTCTATTGAGATGCTTGATTGAGGTAATTATTAAATAATATTCACTTACCTTGAAGTAACGTTTTGGAATTCTATCAGGACAGGGATCCTCGACACTCGAGCAGATTGCTAGCTAAAAATAATACCAAAAAATTTAGTCATTCAAAATTCACTCGGAGATGATTTGGGGACTGGTAGGGGAGGCATAGCTTAATTTCACATGAAAACACCGCAACAAATCTCTGTGATTGCGGATTGAGTTATTTTTTCTTTTCTTTTTTTATTTCAAGCGAATTGTGTTCTCCAACGGCTCTGACTGGACTCACGTTTGAGCAACAATCATCTTTGTTTGAGGACTTACTATAATGGAATCGAACGAATTAATCACAAAAAGAGAATTTTGTCGAAATATGTCACCAAAATCAAGTTTAAGTCACGTGAGATCATATGGCAATGTCCGGACAAGTACCTATGTCATGACAGAAACTTTGCAATGTCATATTAAAGTGAAGATAACTATGACCGGTTTCTAATTCCCTTAAATCGTTCGGAAAACCCTTGTACAGATTTGGTTTAAAAAGTGACCCCACGTTCACGTCACGCTGTTGTACGTTGTTGGAGACGGAATTCCATTACGAGAATCCAAACATTTTGCATACATTTTCCTCAAAATGTACGTATCTACTGAGCTGAAACTTCAACAGGTTCCTCAAAATGTACGTATCCACTGAGCTGAATCTTCGAAAGGTTAAATAGATGTTGGGGACCTTACTAAAGACATTTAGAAATTATGTTGCTTCTAACAAACAAAATGCACCAAAAGTAGATGATCATATGTTTCTCATCCTATGTGGCTCAAAATGTGCTCGAATTTGTGGTTGTGAGAATCACAATGAGCTTACATTTTCTGCACTAATAACGGAAATTGATCTCATACCTAGGAAGTAGTGGCAAAAATATTACAGGTAGCATTCAAGTTAACTGTCGATATAAAAAAAGAACTTTACCGGGTGGGAAATTAGAACACCGGATTGGCTATTAGCATCAGCCACCATCTGTTTCTCAACAAAGTATGTCCCAGAAAATATGTCAGATTTACTGCACAATAATTTAGTGTTCATATACATGCATGAAGCCAAATGGGCCTTATTCACGAGTTGGCCATTTTTGTCGAGTTCCCTGACTGTATTTCATTATTTGTTAACTGTTGAATGGGATGGCGCCTGACTTTTTATGCAGGCACAATGCAGCCTTATTTTACTGTCAGTTTTTTTTTAATCTGGCTTTACACATTAGGGATCGTTTAATTACAAGTTTGAAATTATTCACTGAAGCAGACTGGAATTATTTAGTAATTAACTTGCTTTCATTTCTCTACACAAGTTCCAGAAATCAAAATTTTACCTCACTCTCAATACAATATGGCCGACTCATGAATAAGGCCCATACTACTATCGGTGTTTCAAAACAATATTCAACAACATCTTAATAGTGGCATGTTGAGTGGAACCCTTTACATGCAAACATCACTAAATTCATCCCAGATCTTGTGTTTCGAACTTTTAAGGCTGAGAGCAGAGCATGCAGCAGGGCCGAATAATGTCTACAAATATCAACTCTAAACATGATCAGAAATGAATCCAGTTAGTTAAAGCAATTTGAACTAGAATAAAACTGTTTGCATAATCATCCGATCCGTTCATATTTGCGCCTTCTAATAGTGAAACCATAGAGCGTTTGTTTCCGACTAGCCACACTGTTATTAGCAATGTTTGAATGTAATTATAAATCATTGGCGCGGATCGAATGGCGCGGATCGAATATTAGCGCGCTTGCTTGGCTGTTAACATTCGTGTATCAGTAGTCACGCAATATCAGTTTTCAATGGAAGTTTTGTTCAGAAAAATCGTGTTGTTTCAGTCCTCAAGCAAGGTAAAGAAGGGGAAATTTCAAAACGATAATCAATAATCTTCAGAATCTAAATTTCACGCTGATTGAAACACTATGTGCAACTGAAAGGCAAAAAAAAAAACAATTTCTGAAAAAACCTAAACAATAATTGTTTCAAACACTCACCAAGCAAATCTCGTTCTTGCAATCAGTTCGCTCGGGTTGTCATCTAAGGATGAAGAGGAGCTGCGGTCTTGTGAGGAGTGAAGAGGCCGCTCGTGGCTTAAATATTGAATATTGCCTTAGATTTCCCGAGCAGTGACTGGACAGGTTTGTGATTTGCCCCTAGTCGCTGTCACTCAGACATCACCGACTCGCTTCAATAATGCGACGGAAGTGATGTCAATGTGGTTGATGCTATATACAGTCAGAATCAAAACTTGTGTCACCGACACTGAAATAGCCGCATCTTATTGGTGGATATGGATGTCGGTGACACGTACATCAAAAACACACGATTTGTGATTGACACATACAACCTGTCAATCACAAACCACTCACTGGTGATCACCGACTTGTTGGGTGATTTACTTTGATTGGTGGATAGAAAATTGACGTACACTGGCCGTGATTCATTAAATGTGCAGTTGGCACTTCAGTCCAGTGAATTGTTTCGATTTATTTAGGATTGCACGAGGAATTAAATCGTAATCAAGATGGCGGCCAAAGTAGATTTAACTAAAATCTGGGAGCGCCTGGGTGCATTATAATTATGGATGCACTTTACTTAGATGAAACGTACTGCTGTTATACAACAGTGCATTTTGTTCAAGTCAGGATCTCAAATTAAAGCAGACGAGGCAGAGGGGGGGGGGGAGGCAGTGAGGGGGAAGGGGGGGGGTGAGAGGAAGGGGGAAGTAGTGAGGTGGGAAGGGGGAAGGGGAAGGGGGATGAAAGGGGGAAGGGGAGGGGGGGCGGCTCATGTACCCCGTGTCTATAGTTGTGGCCATGGGTAAAGCAATGCTATTTATTATTGGGGATTTTAAAGAATAAGATACATTACATACAAGTTGGAAGAAAGTTAAGTGACTTTCTATGAACCTTGCCTTGTATCATATTTCGGCAGCCTCGTATTGTTGGACGTGCGTTTTTAGAATTGTGTAAAACCCAGTCCGAATGAACATTCCCAGAAATGCAGGACTGTATGAAGTGCTATGATGGACCTACAAAGCACAATTAATTAGCTAAACTAATGACACAATTCAACAATAGAACGTAAAATAAATTAAGATAAATATCCCCCATATAAATAAGGTAGGCATGTTTTGCATGACCAGATTTCCTGTGTTTGTTATTTAATGACTTCCGCATAACGAGTCATCCTGAACTTTTGCCTTGGTGATATCCGGACAAATTAATCACGCCAGAAGGTGTCATTCTGTTTGTTTAATCATCTCGACAATTAATAATCTCTTAAGCAATGGCGTAGCGCCGATATAAGTGTAGGGTGTGGTCGTTGAACGACCACAAGCCCCTCCCCCTCCTCCCAAACCGGTGAAAAAAGCCACTGATGTGTTTAGGGGCTTAACATTGATGGCCATGTTCCGAAGCCAGAGACGAAGCCTAAGCTTACAAAACGCCCGAGGTCAAATTAAGGCCTTGTAGGGCGTTTCTCAAGCTGCGGCTTCGTTCCGTTTTTGGCTTCGGGCATGCGGTTTTGCAATGGAGCTGCAGCTGTATATATGGAATGAAGCCGGGACTTGGAAAAACGTGCAAGTCACTTTCTTGGCGTGTGTAATATATAGTCTCCGATCAAAACGCCTTGCTGTTTAGCCACTCGGTCATATACCGGTGAGAGTCAGGTTGACCGAGTGAAAAGGCTACAGTTAGGCCATTATTTTGACCAGCAGAGTTAATTCCTTGTTATTGGAGAACCGTCAACTTGGAACCGGTGAAGATCTGCGGATGGAGAGGATGTTGAGTGGAAATGGACGCTACGTAGCTATTGAGGGCATTGTTCTAGAATATAAAGTTTTAGCATACACGCGTGCGTTGATTGTTAATACTTTAAAAAGAAGTTAATGAAATACACACAAAATTGAAACTAAAACTCTTGGAATGCAAACATAAACAAAACAATTTGTTTATGGCTGTCAGATAAGAGAAACAGTCAATAAATACGGTAATGTATTAAATAGACAATACTAAATGTGAATATGAGAGGTGCAGAAAATAAAATGTTAATAGTCAATGACGAAGAAATAGAATAATAAGGGAATAAATGTGTGCTTGCGAGGTGTTAAACACTATGTTTAAGACTTATTGGAGTCTGGAATGCTGATAATTACCCAACGCGAAGCAGAGTGAAATTATCAGCTTTCCAGACTCCAACCAGTCTTAAGCATAGTGTTTAATACCGACCTAGCACATATTTATTCCCATTAATAAATAACTATCGGTCAAAAAAATGTCAAATGTCAAAACTCGTTCTCCCACAGGCTGGCTCGAGTATGGCTTTTTCACTTAATTCGGTCCTGCACGAGGATGGCCAGTTCGTCTGTCGATTCTACACCGGTGTCCTTTTGCAACACCCCGGTGTAAGATATTTTCTGTCTTCCTCGCCTCCTGTATCCGTGGGTTGGTTTCCAGAGAATGACTTTGTGTGCCTCCAGCTCCGAGGGCCGGTAACAGTGGCCTGCTAACTGCATCCGACGGGCTGCGATTTTGTCTCCGACTCCATCGTAGGAGTTTGAGTCCATGTTTTACATCCATATAGTAGCACTGATCGATGGTTGCCAAGAAGAAATAGATTTCTACGTTGCGGCTAATCGTGGAACTCCACACTTTTTTCGTGTCAGCCAGTGCCCTCCATGACATTCCTGATATTGATGTCCTGGTCACTAGAGTTGATCCACGCGTCAAGGTACTTAAAGTCAGGGACCTCATTATCAGCTCACTACCATTCAGCGTCTACAGTGGGATGTGTTCGGGCGCCGTGTTGTAGATGGAACGCTCAGTTTTCTTTGTGTTGAGCCTGAGCCCTACCTTCCGGCACTCTGCTTCTACAAGGTGTAGGAGTACTTGCGCCTGCTCGACTAGATCATACATCAACGCGATGTCATCAGCAAAGTCGAGATCCGTTTCTGTGACCGCTAGTTGCCTTTTCAATCTGATCGGAGTGACAGTGAATCTGAGGTCGGTCTCCCTCTCATTGATGGCCCTACCTAAGGCATAGTCGAGAACAATGATAAAGAGGAAGGGTGCTAGGGTGTCGCCTTGGAGCACTCCTGCTGTGGAGTCAAACCAGTCAGTCTCACCTTCCGGAGTAGCCACCTTTTTAGCCAGTGTGTTGGCGTACATTGACTCTATGGTACGGAGTAACTGGGGTGGAACTCCGTAGGCCTTTAAGATTCTTAACGTTATTCCCCGATGTATGGAATCAAATGCCTTAAATTTCACTTTCTCGATAATGCGTCTTAGAGCTAGGAATTGGGCAATGGTTTTGCACTTCAAATGGAAGCCGTTTTGGTTGTTTCTGAACAGTGGATCAATGACGCCTCTGATGCGATTCAGGATCAAACGGTACATTTTTTTGCAATGATGCATGAGAAACTGATACCTCCGTAGTTGTCAGGGTATGAGAGGTTACCAGTCTTGGGCACTGGTATGATCTTGTTGAGCGACCACTGTAATGGCTTCTGATTATCCATTAGGGCCATGCAACACATCTCCAACACTATGGCGTCAAGGTCACAGTTCTTGAGCACCTCTGGTGGAATGTCATCCGGCCCTGCTGCCCTACTCATCCGAATCCTCGACCTCTGGGGTGCGCTGCTTAGTAGGTTGCTGACATGGGTGTACCATAACTGTGTTTCCACTCTTTCCTGAGGGGAAGCTCCTGCTACCTGCCCTTCCTTTGCTTTCCTGCGTCCAGTTATTTCGTTGATGACCTTCCAGCCCTCGCCATAGCGTGCTCCACCGTGCTACGCCTCAATTGTTTGAGTGTTTTCATTGAGGACCTCTTCGTTTTAGTCTATCATAGGTGTAGAACAAATGTTGTTTTTCCACCCTATGAGCTTGCTTGTTTTCTTCATTGTGGCCTCTGTCGCAGGACAGGCGTCCCTATATGACAGCCTCTGTCATAGCTGCGATGTCTGGGTGCTTCGACTAAAGAGATTTCTTTACCCTCTTCTTCTTATGTACCACTCCACTATCTCGTTCGCTTTGATGAACCTTCCGCACCTCTCAGTAGGGTCCTCTTGCTCCTCCATCAACTGGTAGTAGTTGCGCATCACCACCGTGTAGCGTTTTTGAATATCAGGGCGGGATGAGAACTCCTTTCCGTTATACCTAGTCCTACTGCTCGGCTTTGGTACTCTGAGACTTAGACGCACCTGAATGACGAGCACGGTTCAGAATTCAGAATGCTGGTCCTCCACTTGCTCCGCATTAGAAGGACGTAGTCTAGTGACGCCTCATCCCCAAGCCTCTGTCTTGGAAGGTCCACATCTTTCCCGATATGAACTCGGCTAGCAATGCTCCTTTTCTGTTGGTAGCATCATGATAAGTGAACGGTGCATCTTCAGGGCCCATTCTAGCGTTGAAGTCGCCCAGTATCGTCAAGAAATTGTGAGCCGGCGCTCCCATTACTGCTTCTGTAAGGGTCTCGTAAAGTTTCTCAACCTGTTCTTGTGGTGCAGCGTTGTTGGGCGAGTGGACCCTTCTGGATATGCCACTGCCCACATTATACCCCCACCAACAATAGAGCTAGCAACCCACCTACTCCCACCAATATGGGCGTAGATCAGGGAGTAGTGTTAGGAAGGATTTATCCCCACACTTTATTTTAATAAGAGGGATGATTGGCCATTGGATCAAAACCCCCCCCCCCCGAGTGTTGTGATGAAAGTAAAAAAATAATCAAACAAATAAGCTTAGGTAAATACAAAAAAGAACAAACAATACACACGCCTAATGTGTTAATGGACGTAAGCGCATTTTATGCTCAACAGCGCCCCTAGTGTCTCATGCTGTCCACCCCCACCTATTTTCGAATTTCCACGGATTGCTGGCAAGTAGGCGCTGTGTTATCACCGAAACCCCCCCCCCCCACTCGCTTATGCGGATTTATGCCTCTGCCCACCGACCCTAACTGTACCCCCAACCACCCTAAGCCCAATCTGCATCTGATTTTTAACCCCAGCCCCAAATTGAATCAT